GGCGGCTCCCTCGCCCCGAGCTGCGCAGGGTCCTCGGCGTTCGGTGCTGCGGGTGAGGAGGGAGCAGACCGGGGCGAGCCGTGCGGCCTCCGGGCGGGAGGCGGTGGTTGCGGGGCTGTCAGAGTTCTGGGCGTTAAACCTGGCTGCACAAGCGCCAGGGGACTGTCGTCGTGTTGGTTTCTCCGTAGTGGGAAACTTGCCTTTGGGCTCTGGAGGCCGAGGTTAACAATATAAATCTGAATATTTCTTAGGCTCTCCAGCTGGGCACCAGTGGCAAATTACGGTGTGCTTGTTCTAACAGAGCTGTGGTGGTACTTAATGGGGCGTGCGTGCTGTTAATCAAGGGGCTAAACCAGTTTGTCTTCGGTTTGGTTCAGGATTGAGTTTAGCTGAGGTTGAGAGCTGCACAACTTGGTTCTAGATCTGCTTCAGTAGAACTTGGGAGTCCTGGCAGTGCTTTAGTTTGAGGTGGAAACAAATAATTCTAATTTTGCATTGTGGATCAGAGTGATGATTTGTGTTTGTTCTCGTACTGTGAAGATACAGCCTAGGTCTGACTCTTTTTAGTTCCTGGGTTTTTTCTTAATATTTTCTTTTTCAACCACCTTTCTCCATTTTCCGGCAATATCTTTAGCACTATTTTTAGTTAAAACATAATGAACATAAGTCATCATGGCTGTTTCTGAATGCTTTTGATGTGTCTCATGGTATACAGTTAGGTTTTTTCCCCCTGAAAGGTAACAAGTTTGTTGATAGTAAATTATTGTTTCATTGATAGTAAATTATTGTGTAAGTTTTCATCAGTATCATTGTGTTTAGAATTCAGTGTCACACCAGTTTGCTTTTGTTGAGGTTACTGCTTTGCAGCATAAAATCCCAGCAAGTAGAAAGTGGGTTATAACAGATTATCAGTCATATCAAAGGAAAAGCAGTGACTAATGTCTAGATTCGACTTTAACTTACTGAGTTATCTTAAATTTGAAATTGCCCATCTTAAAGACTAAAGGTAGAATTCGGTGAACCTGTGCTGGTGACTCATCCTACTGCGAATGAAGCTAGTGTACTAGGTGCAGCAAAGACGAAGCAAGACGTGTCATCTACTCTTATCTTGAATCTATTTTGATAGACTTCTGGGAAATACAGTTAATACAGTATCAGCTATAAAGCAGCATCTGTAGTTTGTGTTTAGTTAATGAGTAGCACTCAGCTTTAGTGAAGATACTTTTTAGTTTTATGTGAAAATGCTTTAATGGAAGCTCATTCTTTTTATGGAAGAGTATAACTACAAATAGCAAATACAAAGAATAAGATGTACAAAAGCTTTCAGTGTGGACTACTTGTTTTCTCACATTTGATTAAAGTGGAATTCTTGTTGCTTTTGCTTTATTAATAGAAATCTGCTGTAAAGGATGAGTTTCCTCACAGTTTAACTAAAACTTAAAATAGGGAACTTCAGAACTCTCTTAAAATAGGGAACTTCAGAACTCTTAATAGATGTTTTGCTTTCTGAGTACTTGTGCTAGTGCCTCTAACATATATATATATGCATATATATAACATTATAAACAAATATTTTTTTCCTTGCCTATGTAATATCTAAGTAATTGTATGTACAAGTTTGCACGCTCATTTAACTTTGATAAAGCTGGAAAACTGTATCTGTATTGGGCAGACTTACAGTGCAAAATTGAAGGTACTCTTTCCTAAATGTATACAGAATCTTTGGGTACTGTATGCACTCATCTTGGCCTTTTAAAGATGGATGTGACTAAGTTTTGAACCAGCAGCTTTTTTTATTTTAATGGTGTGTTATGTCTGTCCTTTCAGTGTTCTCTCTATCCCTGTGTTGTAAAAGACAAGTTCATGAGTGGACAGAACATAACTAAGGAAGAAGGCTTGGATTAAAGAGTTAGCTGTATTTTGAGGATTTTAGTAAAGTTACTGAGAAAATTTCTGTGTTCATACTCCCCAGCATCCTGGAGTTCTGTAGATAAACAGCCTCTAAAAACTCACTGCACCAAAGCCAGTAATTAAAACTTTATATTAGGTTTTGTAATAAAAGTGCCTTAGCACTTAAGTTACAGAACAAAACTGAAAGGACTTGGATAGTATTTCAGTTTGACTTTAGCATGTTACCTTCTCAAGAATAGCTTGAATCGCAAGTTAGTTTCTTTGATAAATGAAGTGAAACGCAAAGGGATGAAATAACTGTAACGCTTCAGGTGAGACATACCTAAGGAATATTAAATTGAAAAATCACACTACTTTGTTATTCAAGTGTTTTTAAAATAAAAATCCTCTTTATTTTTAAAGCATAGATGAGACAATGTACAGTCTTGTGTGTCATGCATGAAAATGAGATTAACTTGAAATGATGGACATAATTTTTTTAGCTGAATTCTTAATGTCAATTAATATTATTTTTAACTTATATTTTAGAAACCTGACATTGAAATATTTAAGAAGCGAATGCCTCTGGATTTTGGAACAAAGTTGGTATGTATAATGAGTGTTTGAAAGGCTCATCACTGAACGTTTGCATTTTTGTTGTTAGGGAGTGTTTGTTTCCTGTGGTTTTTTGCCTGTGGAAAGGAAGAAGGGAGCACATGATTGATGGTCTGTGTGTGACATGATGGTCTGTGTGTATTTGTTAAGAGCAACTTGTTGATTCAACTGCTTTTTCTTCCATGAAAACTTTATGGCTAGGAGGGCATTAAATAGGTGTTAGAAACAAAATTTTTCATGGAGCTCTTGTAAACAAGCAGAATTGAAAATAAAATAAAAAAAACCCAGAACAGTTCAAAAGATGCTGAATGGCTGTACCTGGAGTAACTATTACTACTAATGTCGTGTCAAAACAGACTTTGTTTAAAAATCCTTCCGTGTGAGTCATGACTGCTGAATCTTGTGCTGTTCAGTGATCTGGCTGAAAGGACAAAGAATGGCGTTGAGCAGGGAAGGGTCACCAGTGTGTAAACTCAGATGAATATTTTCAGGAAACATTTCTGAAAAAAAAAGCGATGCTTTTTATAGAAGTGAATGAAAGTGATCACACCTAGGCAGGAATAATTTGCTATACAAATAACAGTTTAGAGAATGGTAGTTCTGTAGAAAATAATTTAGAGGTGATAATCTAGAGAAATTGAAGAGTCAACAGTAGATGACTGCTCAGGAAGGGCTAAGAAAACCACCCGTTTCAGGAAGAGGAGTATAATCTTCCACTGTGTTGCAGCGGTAATAAATAATAATTCAGCTAAAACGCTGTAAGAGCTTTGGGAGTTTGACTTCATAGAAAAACTGGGCTATTGGGAAAGGACCCAGAGGGTAACACAGCAGGAGGTGCCAAGCACCTGACTTGCAGAGTGATGTTAAGGTGTGGGTGCAAAGATAACGGGAGTTGTGTCTTTTCCAAGTCCAGAGTAGACAAATGTAGCGGGCTTTGGTACTCAGAGTGAAGATCATTAGACATGAGAGTTCCTAAGCATCAAAGCATGGCTGCAGCATTTATGAGGTTATTTTCTGGGAGAAACTTAGCTGAATTACCTGTAATGAGGAGCAGCAGTGAATGATGCTGTACATGGCAAAGGGTTGAAGTTAATGGCCTATTAAGGTCCTTTTTAGCTTGGTGACATCATCTTTTATACAGTTAAGATTAGATCAGGTTTTAGACAAGAAAATCGTTAATTCTAGCACTTTAAATATTTTAGCATATATTTAGGTTACTTCTGGGAGAAAAGGCTGTCTATTGAACTCTTGACGGCTGGTGGCCAAGTAGGCAAAGTTTGAACAATCCACCACATTTACTTGTGCTGACTGTAATTATTACTTCCATACAATGCGCAATTTGTAGAAGGGATACTAATTGTCTTTGGCTGATAACTCCCTCATACTTACCTGCTTTTAAATGTAAAGTATTATCTCACCTCGTGACACCACTTTCAGTGTTTCTGAGATTTAGATAACTTGTTTTTTACAATACATTTATAACATCTTTTGAGTGCTCTGTGTGCTTTTGGGAGAAAGGACTTTTCAGCAAAGCGACAAAGAAGTGTTCCTTTGTGGTTTAGACCAGAGAGTCTGTATCTTGTCAGCATTTGTGATACCTGTTGGTTACAGCTTAAAAATAAGCAAACAAACTTTGTGTCCAATCTGGACTCTCTTATGTCCTGTGATTTTTTTCAGAAAGCTTTTTCTCCATCTCTCCCTGTCTGATAACCAAACTCAGCATATGTTCCCCTTGTTGTCTGTCATGTTACTGTTACATGCTGAGAGTTATGACTCAAGATACTGGAAGATCCACAGGCAGTTCATAAATGGGTGGTTCTTCGAGGCATTGTAAATGTAGCTTCTGTGGATAGGAAAATCCTATCCCCTCATTACATCTCTGAAATCAGAGCAGAAAGTTAAGTGTTCTGCTGTGAAACTGCTGGTCTTGGATGGGTGAAATGTCCTCTGTGTTAACATCAGCTATGAACTTGATTAAAGAACCTTTGCAGAACTATACGAAATAAACAAAGCTGGCAATGGTTTTAGTTATAACCTTTACATTTTCTGGCTTCTCTCCTGTTTATTGCTTAGTAGTGGCCCTGGCTGCTGGAATGGGACAACTTCGGCATGTCCCAAAGCTGAAAAGTGAGAGGAGTATTTAATCCAGAAACTCCTCATTTCATGGCATTTTCTTATTCCCGAAGGTGGTAATTTTTCTTGGTGATACTTATGAGGACCTGTTAGTTCCTCTTTTTTACTAAGTTTTAGGGTTAAAATTGAACTACGGATCTCCTGAAGTGTAAAACTTCCTGTACCTGCTACTGCTTTGGCTTTGCAGCTACACTGTCAGTTCTACACAGGCGCGTTACATCTGCGCTGTATGCAGAGTGACCCAGGTCTCTCAGAGAGGGGGGTTCACTGTGACTGTGCGGCAGAAATGGCCAGCAAGTGTAGACACGCGTCTAAACCTTAGGTGGAAGTATGGCAGTCCAGCCCAAGCTGGAATGGGACTGGCCATGTCTGTGAGGATAAACTTGGCAAGAAGAGCTGGCGCTAATTTATGTGAAGAAGTGGTTAAGAGTTGAGTCATTTACAAGATTAACAAAGTGGTTGACAGGGAGTCAAAAACTCTTTAATGTATTTGGGTCATGAGGGAGAGTAGAACTACTAGTTTTGAAGTGTAGCGTACTTAGGGGTTTTTAAAGACTAAATTCAGAAAATTAGCTCGCAGGTTTTCCTCATTCTTCTGCAATCGAATTTCTCCTTTACTCCAAAGAAAACCAGCCTGTGCTTCTTCCCTGGTCTCTGAAATGCAGTGGGTGGAAGACGTCAGGATGGGACTAACTGATGCTCTTTACCTTTGTCAGAAATGTTTTCATGTAGATGAAACTATGCAAGCCAGGGAGAGGGGGAAAAAAAGTGGTTTTGCCAGTATGGTGAGTTCTGCTTCAGCAAAAAACTACACTACTAAAAATACTTCCATTATAATATAACTAGAGTAGCAGCTGTTGAAAACACTGGTAGAGTAGAAAAGCTCAAGAAAGAAGCCCCCCTCCCTCAGGTGTTGCTATACCAGTATCACATTTTGCACCAGCTGGAGCCAGAAGAACACTCAGCTTGATTACCTGAACAGTGTGACCTGTGACTGCTAGAAAAGGTGGCAGAGAGAACAGTCGCAAAAGTATCTTGATGTCTTTTCCTTGCATTAAAAAATGCCTCTCTTCTTCAGGGGACCAAAAGTCTTGCTTTGAATTCAAAACCAGAGAAATAGTGACGGGTTAGTGAGGTGGCTTGTTCTGGTCTGTCTCCCACAGTAGTAACTTGTCTTTTTTAGCTTTGTTTGATAGGCGATTTTGTATCATGCAAGAGTTACTTAAGTTTATTTTTTAAAGTTGCTAGAAAATGGAAGCAGACCCTTGCAGTTAATTTACTTAAATTTTTCCTGCAAAGTAATATATTAAAAATTACTGTGCAAGGGTTAAGGGAAGAGGATTTGAGAATTTTGAACTGTGGATCTTGCAGCATTTTCGGTACTGCCATGTCGAGTGCTTATTAAATGGGACTGATTTCCTGTACTTTTTCACAGCCCAATTGGATGTAAGTAAGAGGATCTATGTTCTGTTTTAATGTTAAACCTACCTGTAGTGCTCTGCTAGGCTTTTCTAGGGGTGTGGCAAATTAATCAAAGTCGGAAGCAAGAACGTACAGGGAAAGGTAGTTTTGGAAGAAAACAGGTTTTGAAGAACCAGGTGCAGGAATTGGAACTGTGAACTGGCACGGCAGACCAGAATATGATTTTATCTAGTCCTGGACTCCCAGTGGGTGCGTCCATCTCTGCCTGCGCATGTAAGAGGGTGCTTGATATTGCAGTTCCTCCCTCGACACCAGCATTGTACTCCTGCTCGGGGAGGCTGCTGCTATATCTCAACATTAAAGCTGTGGAACTCAGGTTCCAATAAGCGCTGAAATGGAAATATTTCATTCCATCCTCTTCTTCCCCCCTTTTACTTTTAAATCAAAAGCTTGTTAATGCAACTTATGTCATATATCACACTTCTGAGTATCTGGAAAATAATTGCTTAGGGAACTAAATGCTAGTCTTGGCGCATCTGTGATTGGTGTTCCCTGGAGATAAAAATTCTTTTATCTGTGGATGTTTTCTTCCTTTAGAACAGTTCTCTACAGCGTCATAATTATCAGTTGTCTTGAAATCAAAACATAAAAAATAGTTTTAATTTCCTTTCGTACTACGGAGAGGTTAATCACCTTGAAAGTACTTTGGGCTTTTTTTTCCTTCAGTTTAAAAGTTACATATAGACATACCTTAAATTAAAATCTTGTGTGTTAGATGGAATCCAGGATATCCTCATTGCAGCTTGTAAGAGGAGAAAAGATGCACTGAATATAATTTTCTTGTTAAGCGGGAGGTTGACTATGTAAAATCTTGATTTCTATCCTAAAAATCGCTATTTTCTGCTAAGCTTTCATTGAAGGTCTTACCTAACTAGATTTGGAGCCTTAGCAGGCGAGGTGAAAGCTTTTAAACTGTAAACTCTGCATAGTTACTGTAGCTAAGCTGAAAAAAAGATGCTTCATGCAGGTGTGGGAAACGCTTTGTAAAATACATCAACACACAGATGCCTTGTTTCTTGTTCGTTAGAGGATAAGTGCATGTGCATACATCTTAAGCTTGTTTGTGTTAGGGAGATGACTATGGGATTAAACATCCATTCTAATCTCCTTTTTTGTTTTTTCTAGTGAGTTTATATGGAAGAAATGCTGTGGCTGTTCTCAAACTGTCTTACAAACTGATTTCAATGTAAGTAATTGTTTGACCAGTATGGTCAGTTACATGGTGTGCTGGACATAGATCTGTGTACTTAATGAAAAGAAAAATGAATTGCATCTTTTAAGTTTTCCTTAAGGTTTGTCAAAGAACTTTTATTTGTTTGGGTTTCGTTTTTTATACGGCAGGTCGGAAGCCCTTCCTTCTGTGTGCTCTGACTTGTTTGCCACTCATCCACAGTTCAGCCTTACGCATGCTTCAAAGATTCCTTTTTTTTTTTTTTAAAAAAAAACACTCATAACAGAGACTACTCACAGGAGAACCAGTCACGTGAGCTGTTGAGGATTTTCCTATACAGTATGTATTTCTACCCATGTAATTCCAATGTGTTTATTTTGCTCAGGTTTCAGTGTTGCATCGTCTAGTGTTGAGTAACAGAAATTCTACCGTTCATTGATCAATGTGACAGTCTTTAGTAGTTTACGAGATGAGCCAAACTCGTGGGAGATATGACTTCTGTATTGGTCTGGTGTTGGCTATGAGTTCCAGCATTTTCATCGGAGGAAGTTTCATCCTGAAAAAGAAAGGCCTTCTCCGGCTAGCTAGGAAAGGCTCCATGAGAGCAGGTAAATGCATGTTTAAGAAATTTGCTGATGTTTAAGTTTTGCTGTTTAACAGAAGATTACTGACAGAACAGATGGTCTTGTTTTAACCTTTTTGTTTGTTACGGGTATATGAAACCTGAAACATACATCTGATGTGTTTTTTCTCTGGTGTCAGATACACCAACTCTGTGTGTGAACCATAGTGTTTAATTTGCATGTAATGCCCTCTAGGGACACTTGTTAAACGATTCCTTCCCGTGTCAGTTAAGTCTAAATTGTACTTGCAAATTGAACTTGGAAGCAGCGCTCTTAACTACATCTGTGCTCCTGATGGAGTGAATTTAGGAGAGCGTTAACTAGAAGTGTCAGGAGATTGTTTTAGAAAACTAAAAATCACATGTAGTAATAGTGTGTAATGAGTAGTGTCCCTCATTTACTATTTAATATCTGCATCAGTGATCTAGACAGTGGGATGGAGTGTGGTGCGCTCGACACGCCAGAGGGAAGGGATGCCATCCAAAGGGACCTTGACAGGCTGGAGAGGTGGACCTGTGCAAACCTCATGAAGTTCAACAAGGCCAAGTGCAAGGTCCTGCACCTGGGTCAGGGCAATCACAAGCACAGTGACAGGCTGGGGGATGAGTGGGTTGAGAGCAGCCCTGGGGAGAAGGACTTGGGGTGCTGGTGGGTGAAAAATCAGACATGACCCAGCAATGTGCGCTCTCAGCCCAGAAAGCCAACTGTATCTCAGGCTGCATCAAAAGCAGTGTGGCCAGCAGGTTGAGAGAGGTGATTCTCCCCCTCTGCTTGGTTCTGGTGAGACCCCACCTGCGGTGCTGCGTCCAGCTCTGGAGTCCTTAGCACAGGAAAGCCATGGACCTGCTGGAGCGGGTCCAGAGGAGGGCCATCAAGATGATCAGGGGGCTGGAGCACCTCCCCTGTGAGGACAGGCTGAGAGCTGGGGTTGTTCAGCCTGGAGAAGAGAAGGCTCCGGGGAGACTTCACAGGGGCCTTGCAGTGCTTAAAGGGGGCCTGCAGGAGAGAGACTTTTTACCAGGGCCTGTAGTGACAAGACAGGGGACAATGGTTTCAAACTGAAAAGAGGGTAGATTTAGATAGGATGGGTGCAGCATCCTCAGATGATTCAGAAGGCTGAATCTGAATATTTTTAATTCAGTACCTGTCATCTGTCCTAAAAGATGGTTCATCTTGAGCTACATAATTCGTGCTCTCTGGTTTGGAATGGGAAAGCATCGCTACATTTCACATGTTTGTACATGTAATCAACCATATAAACCCTGCATGATTTCCACAAAGTAGCACTCTTGTAAGAGGCACATAACACGGCTTTTTATGTCATTACAGAGAGTTGAAAAAACTGTTGTTTCAGGGTAATGCAGATACGGTCATCAGTGCTATGTCTAATACAAAACCAATAAAATAACTGGTTTTCAAAGTCGGCTGTGGGAGACACATGCACATGAGGAATTAAGATGCTTTCATTTCAGTCCATGTAACTGTAAAGCCCAAGCATCAAAAGGCTGCCAATGTTTTTAAGGGCATGGGCTGCAAAAATTATTTTATGTTATCAGTGATGGGGCTTACTGTTTGTCAATGTGTGTTTTTAATGGGGTAGCAAATATTCTTTCAATTTTAGGTCAAGGTGGTCATGCGTACCTTAAGGAGTGGCTGTGGTGGGCTGGACTTCTTTCAAGTAAGTGTCCAAAATGTATTCAAGTCAGTATCAAAAATATAATCTGCATTATGTAACTTGAGTAAATAGCTATGGCACAGGTGTCAGCAATGATTATAAAAAAGGAGCGAGGTGGGGATTCTACAGTGTGTGGTAATGGTGTCTGGTGATTTGATGGGTGCAGCTCTACTGATTTTAATATAACTTCTGTCACACCAGAGGTTCTTGCATTAATTTAACTGCCGCCTTTGGGCAGTGGAACTGGGCAGACATTGGTTTTCCCGTATCTCTTCGCTAGCATATGCCTTCTGGTTTCTGTCTTGGCAGAGAAGTGCTCAGATACAAGGGATTCTTTAGAGGGAAGCATATTTTGGGATGATGTCTGTTTTCTGAACTTTTTTTTTCTTCATTGCTTAAACTCTCGACTTACTCGTTCTGTTCAGGTAACTCTGGCCTGCCCTGTATCCTGCTATTTCAGGTTTCTCCATACAGAAGTTCACGAGTCAAGTTGGATGGCTCGGGAGCTACAACGTAGACACCAAATAACACACCTTCTAATTTGGCTGTATTAATTTTAATACCTGTTGTAGCCCCCCAGCCTCTTTTTAAAATATAGTAGTGGGGAGGGGGGTGGGTGTTCTGCTAGTACCGTTAGCTAAACGCTGTAGTTGGATTTTTCCATTGTCCCCTTTCTGCATGTTTGTGTCTATAAGAACACTTGCACTGATTCACAGGTTTGTTGCATAAGACAGCCTAACTCCTTTTTTTATTTTTTTAAATTATTATTACTCTGCAGTGGGAGCTGGCGAAGTGGCTAACTTTGCTGCCTATGCTTTTGCACCAGCTACGTTAGTGACTCCTTTAGGAGCTCTCAGTGTTCTTGTAAGGTAAGAAACGCTAACAGAAAGCAGTGTGATTTTTGGAGAGAGAAGTAAAATATTTATTTAGAAACGTCACTGAAATATGCTGTAATAAACATGGGTTTGTTCTTAACAATAAATAAAGAGTGCTTATAAACGTCAGGAGTAACTTCTAAGTTTCTCCAAATGTGAAGTGACTGTGCTGTAAAAGGGTTCTAGCAATGCATCTGCACCTTGATCTGTGAGAAGCTCTTGTCCTCTGCATTTCAAAGACATGTTGTATACAACAGGGTAGTATTTTCATTCCGTAGAGTTACGATTTTTGTCTCTTAAGAATTATCTTTACAAGTGCTTAGATACAGAGTTTTTTGGGAGGCAGCATAAAAAAGGGGTTCTGGGGAGAGATGCCAAATATTAACAGGGAGTTCTGTCCATAGCAAGTGTCTTGAGGTAGAAAATCAATGATGCAGCTATTTTTAAGGTGCACCTTGCATATGGAAGTGACCTGTACAGTCAAAGCAACCTGTAAGTTGATGAGCAAATGAATGGGCTATTACTAATTCCATGATTGCTGGTGCTCTTTTTTCTTCTTAGTGCCATTCTGTCATCCTTCTTTTTAAATGAAAAACTTAATCTACATGGAAAAATAGGGTGTTTGCTAAGCATACTGGGATCAACTGTGATGGTAATTCACGCTCCACAAGAGGAGGAAGTAGAAACTTTGAATGAAATGTCCCACAAACTAGGTGATCCAGGTAAGAAAAATGCTGACTTGATATGTACGCAGCCCATCATTTCTTTATTATGGTTTCATTACTGCCGCTTTCAAGTTCCAGGAAGATAGCCCGTGTCTGCTTTGTGTTGTCAAAATGAAGCAGAGATTGGAGTTCTGTGACATAACTCCATAGGGAGCTTTGCATGATGCCAGTGAACTTGTCTGGCCTTGAAAAAAGAAGTGTCTCGATGTGAGCGACTGAGATGACAGTTTAAACAAATGCAGCAGCACAGTTGGGTAAACACCACTTCTGTAACTTTTTTAATTGAAGTGCGTCAGTCTGTAAGCCCCACTTGGAGCTATCCTTAAAATGAAAAAGGAGGTGCTGTGGTTAAGTGTCTGCTGACAAGTGTGATATCCTGGAGACTAGCTCCAATGCTTACGTGGAAGATGAGGCACTTGCAGATACCCATCTGCAGAATACTACATATGCAAAGACAAATCCCATTTTAAACATGAGGAACTGGCCAGCAGAGAGATTAAAAGGCTTAAGGAATGACCTGGTTATTGGAAATCTGCCGATGAACGCAGCAGCCCGCCAAAGCGTACCTCCCTCAACAGCATTCAGCCGCAAGCCCGTATCCAGTGCTGTCTGTGTGCAAGGCAATACAGCAATCTAATCCTGTAGGCATCTTGCTGCTGGGCTGGCAAGGGTAATACAACGTGCCTGAGCTTCATTCTTTGTTTTAGCTAGCTCACTCTAAAATCGTTGGAGGATAATGAGAAACATCCTGGACTCTTCTGATTAAGCTGAGCTGATCGTGTTGTTAATGAGCGGTTTCTCAGTACCTCTAAGATGCTTTTGACGGTGTACATAAATAACAAGATTATTGTTTTTCCCCCCCAACCACAGGTTTTGTGGTCTTCGCAACCCTTGTTGTCATTGTGTCTTTAATTCTAATATTTGTGGTGGGACCTCGCCATGGACAGACCAACATTCTCGTGTACATCACAATTTGCTCTGTAATTGGAGCATTATCAGTCTCCTGCGTAAAAGGTTTGGGCATCGCTATAAAGGAACTTTTCGCAGGAAAACCAGTGCTGAAACATCCCTTGTCTTGGATTCTGCTGCTAAGCCTTATTGTCTGTGTGAGCACACAGATCAACTATTTAAACAGGGCTCTGGATATATTCAACACTTCGATAGTGACTCCAATATATTACGTCATCTTCACAACATCTGTTTTAACTTGTTCTGCCATCCTTTTCAAGGAATGGCAACACATGGCGGCTGACGACATTATTGGCACCTTCAGTGGCTTCCTGACTATTATTGTGGGGATCTTTTTATTGCATGCCTTCAAAGATGTTAATTTCACCCTAGCAAATCTGCCCCTCTCTTTGCGGAAGGATGACAGAGCAGCAAATGGTACTTTGCCCAGCACATACGACTGCTTTAATCAGGATGAAGAAAGTTCTGCCTGTCTAGTTGAAATGCAATCCACTGAGAGTCTCTCAGCCAGGAGAAATGGAAGCCTGTCAGCCTTCTGAAACTATCTATGTGTTACTTAAGAACAATTCTGTAACTCTGGATTATTTTTTTTTTTTCTGCTGTGAAATGTCTGAGCTTGTCTGGAAAATCGTGTACTTTTTAACCAGGATGTATAGACAATCGTTAATTTTTCAGTTCAATTAGTTTGGATAATGAACACTGAAGGGGGTTTTATTTGCCTTATTTTTACTTTTAAAAATACTAAAATGACCTCAAACCACAGTTGGTTTTGTTGCTTAAGTTATGTGTAAATACTTCCATTTCATTCTTCTGTTTTAAGATGTATTGCACTAATGACAATTTTATCAAAAATAAATAGCTTTATTTCTGCATTGGTGGTAAAAAGATGGCAGTGAACCTGGGTCCTTTGTACTTCTGCCCTGCCTGAACACTGTAAAAATACTAAGAAAGGAGCTGCAGTAAGTACTCTTGGCCCAGTTTGTAAGAGAGGAAAGGGAAAGCTACAACTAATCCTTTGAAAATTCTGCTTAACTAAAGCTATATGCTCAAGCTGAGGATTTGCATCAAAAACCCCCCAGCTTTACCAATTCAGAGTAATTGGCTGGCAGCAACAAGGCAGGAGCTCCTGCTCTGCTTGGATGGGTGAGGTGGGAGCTCCTGCTGAGACATCTGATGCAGGAGGAAGGATTTGCGTCATTAGTAATAGCCAAAAAGCTACTCCCTCTTCTGTGAAAGAAGTCAGCTTCTGCCTGTTTGCTGCACTGTGCTGCCCTGGCTCTGCAGAGCTGCTCTGTGTTTTGGATGTTACAGCTTGAACTCAGAGAATTGCAGGTTTGTTTCCAGTAACAGTTACGGCTGTGATCGTCAGCTTTTAAAAAAGGGCCAAAAAACTAGACCATAATGTCATTGCTTAAAAAAGGGGTGAGGCAGTTTTAGGTAGTCATTTAAGTTCGCAAAGGCAGAAGATAAAATTAGTGATAAGGGTTTTGTAAGAGCATTTCTAGCATAGATGGGAAGGTTAGAAATTATGTGGGACAGAGCCAAGTAGTTACTGCTGCAAGTTGTCAGTGCTTACTGCTTAAGAGTATAATTTAAGGTTATTATGAGGACGACAAAAAAAACCCCCACCAGTTCCCACCTGTGAAACTAACTCTGCTGCCTTCCTTTGGCACCTGTCATACATGCAGGAAGGGCGAAGGTATGAAGCAAGAAAAAGTGCTTTAATTTCTGGTTCCAGAATGGGATTTGAACTTCTACCTAATTTGAAGGGATGTCACATCAGCAGCGCTTAGTCAGGGAAACACGTCCTTCCTCTGCTTACGCAACAACGGGCACAGTAACGGGGAGCGGCAGGGAGGCGGCCAAACTGCTGCCAAGTTGCCCAGCTCTGGGTTGCCGCTCCCAGTACCAACACACCAGCCCAGCCAAACAGCAGGTTACGATTTCATACAGGGAGGGGAGGCTGTTACTGTATGTTGTGATAGGCCCTCTGGCAGCAGTTGTACCAGGTGAACAGGTTTTAGCTCCCATTGAGTCTAATAATCTTGTTGGAAAAGAAGTAACCTACCTTGGAGAAATGGGAAACGAACATCTCATAGGACTAATGGCTGAGTTCTCTTAAACTGATACCCAAGGGAGAAAAGGGAGCATAAAATATGTATTAATGGCAGTAGTTTTAGGATGGTGGGAGACCAATTCTCTTACTGCTGAAAGCTAACTGGTAAGAATTAGGACGGACTTTACTCACATCACGATTAGCTATTTTTAAATAGTTCTTAAACAAAACCTCAGGCTTTCTTAACCATTTGTATACCACAGTGCCAAGCCAAAGCCTCAGGTGTGTCAGACTTGCCCCATAACCAATGATTATCTCAAATTAAGAAAGTTGCTCATTTCCTTAACTGAAGCCTGAAGCACATGGTTGACTAGAAGTCTTCTGAGACTTAAAAAGAAACGTTGTTGAAAGAAAACTGTCTGTTAAGCACCTAGTGAAAGAAATCCTGCAACAAACTGGCATCACAAAGCACAGGCTTTTCCTAACTGTCTCCCACACCCCGGGCAGCCTTGTTTGCACTCCCACCGCAGCAGAGACCACTCCAGAACAGCAGCTCTCAAGCACAGATGTCCTGGAAAAACCTGCGGTAGAGGAAATTTGCTTATAGATTGCCAGAAAATTCTCTATCCTCTGTTTTGCTGAAGAATTTCAGTCAATTTCTTTCATCAAAATCCAGTTCCCTGCCACCCCAGTACCTCCATGTTCCTCATCTGCATCCTTCCTCTCTCAAGATGCTCATTTCTACCCACTGCTGGACTCTATTCCATTGCTGTGAAACATCAGAAAAGAGCTGAGCAGGAGAAAAGATGTGCTGTAACCAACCCTTGGACTAGTAAGAGGGAAGGGAGAAAAACGGGTTCTCAAAGGGAGGCATTCGTGGTTTCACACCGAGCGTTATAAACATTAACCAACTGACACTTCTGGAAAGCCGTATCCTGTCCTTACGCATCTGTGCCTGTTCCAGCCATCTTAGCACTGATGTTTGTTTTGGGCTGAGCCTAACAGCCGACCGAAAAGCTCTGTTCGGAGCCTGGAGGAAGCAAACAGGAGTTACTGCTTTTGGCTGAACAGGTTGCTTTGAAATTCAACTTTTACGGCAGCGAAGTTTTACAAACAATTTTACTCATGTGGTGTTTGCACAATACAGTAAGTGTAATTAAACGAATACTTCCCATACGTAAATCATTATTCACATCATTAGAGCTTATGTACTGGGATAGATTACACCTGATCACTGTAGTCAAAAATCTTGTGAACAAGAATTCCTTATCACTTGTAATTCCTTATCGCCAACCGAAATACAAACCGTGTTAGAAGCTCTGATGAGGAAGAAGTCCCCGTTCTAATCAGCCAGACTACTGCCTTTTTTAAAGATCAGAATACTATCAGTCACCTCTATGTTAAATAGCTCTGAAACAATCACCTTAATTAGCCTTCATTTCCATAATTACTGATCTCAGAGAACAGTTTTGCAAAGAGGAAAACTAATCAACTGACTAGAAAAATTAAAGCACCAGCAGAGTTTGTTGGTTGTTGTTTTTTTGGTTTTTTGTTTTGGTTTTTTTTTTAATAAAGGCTAATTAAGCAATTAATGCTCTAATACAGTCAATTAGGAATGGATTTCTAAATTATTTTTTTTTTACAGAACCCAGTTTCTTACCCTCCACAGCTCTTACTTTGACAGGTTCGGGGGGAAATTTTGCCAGTCCAGTCTCAAATGGCCCCCTCAGTACAGGAATGCAAAGAGATTTCAAAAATCTTTTACAGTTGCAGGTTTTTAATCAAAGTGTATAAAATTTTAGCCTAGAAAAATAAGTATGGATTGTATACAGTTACTGTGCTTGGAGACTGAAGAGGACAGTGCACCACTCGCATGGCACAGGCATACTGAAAAAAATGCAGATGAGAATATTCCTTAAAACTGTTGGTGTGGGGTTGGTTTGTTGTTTTTTTTTTCCTCATACTTTTAAGCCTAAAGAGGTGCAAAAAGTATCATTAGGCGGGAAGTCTAGTTGCTGGCAAGGGACTGATGAATCGGTGGCTGGAAGCAGCGCACATGTTCCACGGGTGTGCTCTCTCCATCACCAGACTTCAAATACTTGTCCAAAATAGCAATTATTTCATCATTCAGAATCTGGAACTTGCGAATTCTCTCGACCATTTTCTTCAAAGGCTGCAAACAACAAAAAAACCAAACACACAGGAATTAGCTTTGGAGATAAAAAGGCTTCAACAAAAAAAACAGCAAATGCTGTTACCTCACCTCTCCCAACAATGTTACGAATGTCTGCCTTACACAGCTAATCCAGCGAAAATCCAAGGTGTGTTCTGGTTTTTGACAGTGCTGCTTTTTGTACAAAAAAAGGGCAATTTACAGCAGTGTTGTCATAATCGGAATGCATGTACGTGAGATGGAAAGCATTAAGAAAATCCCACATATTCAGGAAATGAGAATTCTCACTGATGGGCCTTCAAACTCCAGTTCTAATGCCTTAATCTTTTGTTCCTACAACCCCTGGGGCCCTCATTTTCGGCATTTCATTCTAAAAAGCGATCGTTACCTCTACGCTGCATCCGGGTACAAACGGCTCAGATTTATTGTTGTCTTCTTTTCTACAGCAAATACAGAACAGACGTTTTCAACTCACCACATTCTTTATAACCTCGTCTTTGCCATCATGCTTTTGGACCTTCAACAGGTGGTAGCAGAAATCCAACACATCAAAGCGACGCTGCTGTCCCAAAAGCACGATGATCATACAGCCGGCCCAGTGCAAGCCGTCTCCAAAGCACTGCCTGAGACACGAAACACACCACATAAAGCACGTTTCACCTACATCTTCAGAAACATATCCACAGGAAATGCTCAGTCATCGGCCGTTATACTGAATAACAAATGCGTTAGACATTAATCTAGAAGATACTGAAAAAGCCTGACTAAATTAATAATAAATTAACTAATTTCCAGATACCACAAGTGATGCAAAATGGATGCTGAACAAAACAAAACAAAAAAACAAAAACAAAACCAGAAGACCCCCCTCCACTTTACAGAGTTACTCCAAAAAAAATTTACTCCCCAATAGACTCCTGTAGCATTTCATTTTGAAAGGAAAGAACACTTTCCAAGAAAACAAGTGGGAATTCAACACCACTCTGCTCCTTTGGGCTGCAGGCGTGAAAGGAAGGAAACGTCCTGTGCTGTTGCCTCTGTAATTGCTCAGTGAAAAGCACGTTGCAGCTCAACAGTCTTTCAAAATAAGGGTATTATCGACATTAACAAACCCAAGAACTACAGCTCCTGGTTAACTCGTGTTAATCACGTTAACGTCCAAGTGCTCGTTCTTGCTTTTAATTCAGAGAAGACAAATACTTGTTAGAAATACACACACCAACGTTGAGCTGTTTTGATTTAAGTCAGCATCTGTAGGGGTCTGACCGCTATTGAAAGATTTCTGCTCTGGGGCCTGTTTGTCATGGGATCATTCGCTATACAGTGGCAGTATTTAAAACAGAGGGTTATTTTTGCTAAAAAGACAGTAATATCTGTGTTCACGCGTTATGAGCCCTCCCGGCGTTGCAGACGGACAAACCAACCCCTCCGTTCTAACGCCTTGCGCCCCCTGCCGGTTACGGGGAGGACAAGCAAAGCACTGCTGCCCGCAGGTGGACCGCGGCAGCTGGCGGTGCGCTACGTACTCCACAGTGAACTCGTGCGTTCCCACGGGGATGCAGTAGACGAACTGCATCGCGCTCCAGAGGCGATGGAATTCCACGCACTCGTCCACGTGCATCACCCCATTGCTGGGCAGGGGCCCGCGCCAGATGGGATCGTCCAGGAAGGAGCGGATCCTCGTCAGGATAACCTCAAACATGGAGAGGCCGCAGCAGAGGCGCTCTTTGGTCAGCAAGTCCCCTTCCCTTGCGATTGCTATTTGCTAAGGTGGAGAGAAAGAAAGTGCAAAATCCTGGTAAAAGCCACTTGACCACAAGACATTACTTAAAAAAAAAACCAAAACAACCCACCACCACGTTTTTCAGTTTCGCTTGGTGTATTTTAGGAGCAATTCCCCCTGACTTTAAGTGAGGTCAGAGGCCACTCACCTGGGGTTCAGTTTGATGGAAAAAACATTCAGAGAAAATTGTAAAAGCCTTTTCAAGCAGACAGGCCATTGGTGTAGCAACACTAACTGCGGTAATGCTAATCCTGGACTAGTCCCAGGGAAGTTTAAAGAATTCTTTGCCTAAATGGAGGCAGAAAGCAAACCCAAAGAGTTCAGTGCTCCACTGCTGGTACAGGCAATAGGCTCCTGCCTGCGCTCCTGCACATCTGCCTCGGCTGCTGCTGTCAGAGATGGGCAAGCTCCAAAGACAGCACAAACCGATAGCAGGCAATGCCAGACAGGGCTTGTCCCAGCTTGTGCTGTCACACAGAGCTCTCTCCTGCAGCAGCACCTACTGAACGGCAGCACCTATGGTGACAAAAGCAGTCTGAAGTCTTTGCTTCAGAGCACTTTGCTCTTAGTTTCTACTATTCACATCTCAATTGCTTGTAAACTGCAAAGCTTAGCATGGAATTAACGCACCCCTCACGCTGACAGAAAATAGAGCTGAAGCTGCAAAGGCAGTTCAAGAACATTCTCTTTGGTTGCTGTGTTTCCAGGAAAGCACAACTCGCTCATTTTCCAAGGGTTTCTAATAATCTGGCTGAGAAAGGAATAAATTGTTTTAAAACATACATATACGTGCACAAGAAAACTGATTGCTTTTGGCAGAATTTGCACTAGGACCTCCCAGGCTGGCCCTTACACTGAGAGGGTATCACATAGCAACGTACACACAAACTAGCATTTTCTCCAAAACCTGGCAATTCCAACCCAATCTCAAATGTTTTAAACTTCTGAGCTTTAACAGCTTTACCGAATGCACAGATCTGAAAAAAAAAAAACAAACCCTGTTGTGCGAGCGAGTTGGATGCGCAGGCTGAAGTTCTGACACAGCCATCGGTACATGTGAAAGAACAGGCTTTCTAGTGCTCGGAAATTTCTTGAATTGCCTCTGACACAAATGAGAGATTACCTGGGGTGTTCCTAATCTTTCAATGAGAGGAACCAAATGTAGTGGAGCGTATTTTGATTCTAGTCTCTTCATTTTAGCATCAAGTCTTTCACCCTCTGAAAGGGGAAGGAAAAAAAAAAAAAAGAGCGCACTGATAAATTGCAATTAACCAAGAAAATTCTTATTTTCACACAATCTTTATTCACTGCAGAAGAAAGCTGAGTATGTTATTTTCAAAGGTAATTTCAGTTCTAAATACCTGGTTAGTATTCAGTATGCTTTTAGAAAAATACATATTTTAAAATGTTGCATTGTGTGTGCAAACAGAAAGAAGGATTTGTAGAATGCATTTAATTAATTAGCTAAATTAAAGAAAGAATATAAGGCTCTATTATGCTGCTGCTGCTGCTAACATATTTGACTCCCACTTGTACAAAGCCATGTAAATTGTCCCCTTATCATACACAAAATGCTTGACTCTAGAACGTGGGGTATAATGAGGGTGAAATCTTATTTATAGCAAGGCTTAAAAAAAGCAGCTGGCACCCCCTCATCACTGGCAAGTAGGAAATGTTCTCCAGCAAATGCAAAAATACTGTTTACAATGGTCTGGTTAGTTTTATGCAGAGATGCAAGCAGCTTTCTCCGAGCAGAACAAATCAGCTTCTCTGGCAGCGAGAAACAGAGAGGAAAGGAGATGGAGGAGCAGCACAGAAAGAAGCGTGAGAGGAAAAAAAAGCTCACTTTCTGATGATGAAGGATGAGGAAAGCAGGTACCAAAGGAAGCAATCCTGCAAACATTCACCACTGCACGCCCAGTTTAGTACAAAGGCATGTGAAAAGTCTACTGGGAGCAGGGACCGCTTGTATTTACTTACTCTGCTGACAGAATTCCCATACCCTGTATGATCAAACCTACCTCATTTAATTGACAATCATATAAACTAAACAGCACCTTTGGAAAAGCCTCTCACCACATCCACATGGAGGGGTAATATGGCCCTGGCTATCCATCCCACCTGTCCTTGTCACGGTATTCCTCCTCTTCCTCTTCTAATTTGCACCGAGCCTCGCTAAGAAGCACGTATTTTTCACCCGGGCAAACAGGCCTGAATATTACCTCTGTCCTGTAACTAACAGCGATGTTGTAAAGGATGACTGAGGATGGCCACTGAAACTGCAGCAGGAGGCAAGGAAAGTGGAAAGCATTACCCAAGGAAGGCGTTTTCATTAGCCAATACCTTTGACATGAACTCTGGGCAGGATATTTTGGAACGGCGCTGCATGCAACAGGTCACACACTTCCTCTAGGGACTGGAATGAAAAGGAAAAGAGAGGCATTTAGGACTGAAGAATCCCCAAACCACACCAGATCCCCAAAGCGGGCTTCCAGAAGCACGCCATCGCCTCAACACCAGAGGGCAGCCAGCCTCTGTCACCACCGCACAGAGTCGCTCCGCACCCTCGCTCTCCTCACGGGGATCGCTCCCCAAGAGACAATTTGATTTCACCAGGTTACCTTGGATTCCCAAATAAACTCTGGCAGCTCTCCTCCCACCCTCAGCTGGCAGTTCGTAAAGGACAGCGTATTTATGAAAAAGACGAATGCAGAATGAGTAATTTCGGTGTGAAAGCAGCAGACGGCTCCTGCGCAGACCAACGGAGGGCTGAAGGAGATGAGTCACTGCTTGGTTATTTTTACCAACGCTATTCCCACCACCCGTTATCATGGTGGGGGCATCTCCCCGCCAGGCGGGCTGAGACACAGGACAGCAGCGGTGAACCGCCCCTCAGGAAGTATTGTGCATCTTTAGGGGCAGGGGGAAGGAAGACAGATGTCTCCTGGTTCTTGGCTGCTGTACGTGCAGGGAAAAGGCAGAGATGACCAGAAGCAGACACGTGACTTTGGTAAGCCCTCTCCTCATTTTCAGAGCAGAGGCCCTGCTCATTTGTAGTCCCTCAGCACTATATTAGAAGAGATGTTCATCAACCATACACTCAGAAAGGCCAGGGTACCGGAGTTAATACGCCTTCTTCCCCACATCTAGTTCCTTATGGCTGGAGTTTATGTTCTTAACTGTCTTCTCCAACCTAAATGATTCTATGATTCTATGTCAACACTTTGAAAATGCATGTGCTAGGCCGTCGAGATCAACAAGACTCGCCCACTAGCAGAAATGCACTACAGACCTACATTGTGCACTGGGGCAAAGTCTAGTTAAGTGATCATGGGTGACCACAATGGAAAAATACTGCCATTTGTGACAGGACATCAGGGCACCACCAAGGGCAAAAACAAGAGGAGGGGCAGCAGGCAGGGGTGTATTACTAGAAAGTGTCACCAAGGCGGCGTCCCAAAGAACATACCTCCAGCGCTGGTGTCACTTCAGTACACCCTCCAGCAGTGAGGGCCTTCACCTTCCTGGCCTTTCACTGCGTACCTGTTAGCCTGAATCCAAAGGAATCCAGCTTCTCATTTTGTTTCAGCTATCCCGTTACTGAATGCAGCTTCACTGCTTGTCACCTGTCCCTCCAATTACTTTCCACCACGAGGGAGGGATCTTCTAACAGCATAAACAGGACTCTGAGGAACAGTGTGTCTTCACTGCCTTATCTAACATCAACAGCTTTAGTGCACCCTAGAGAAGCAGTGTTACGTGAGGATTTATTTCTGTGCAGTGGCAGGCCCTCAGCCAGCTTGCCGAGGAAATGACGTGGTGGGTCTGCAGACAGCAAAGATCTCTATGGGACAGTCAGCCCAGCCTCAGCGGCAGCGTGTGCTTGCACAGCGTGGGCAGAGTGTCCTGTACAGACAGGCAGGGAAGAGACTCCCCACCCAAGTCCCAGAAGCACAACCCAGGTAAAGAAAGGGAAGCCAGCACACCTGCTGCTTTTCTGGCCCACAAGCGATGCCAACCTTTCCCTCTGTAAGCGCCCAAAAGCATGAAGACCAAGAAATTACACAGCTGGCTATTTTGTTTGAACAGCAGATTGTAGAATACGAAAGAAGAGTGGGAAAAGAAAAGGAGAGGTAAGGATAAAGAGCAATTGTAGCACCATGGCCTCAGCAGAGGGCAGCTTCGTGTGCTGTAAGGCATATAGGAAGCAGCTGAAAGACTGGACATGTTTCACAGCTTCGTTCAAACTAGGACAGATGAACGCCCGGCAGAGCGGGCACCACTGCCAGCCATCCTAGTGGCAAGAAGGATGTCCAAGAAGTCCATGTTAACTTTGCGATGTTTCGGATGACAACAGGAACGACAAGCAGGGAAGAAAAATAACAGTATCAGCTGCACAACTCATTGACATAAAGAGAGTAGCCACCCTGTTACTGACTGCAGGAATACTGTATTTGATCATAATTTATGATGAAAGTCATAATATTTGATCCTCAGGTACTGTACACGAGGCAATGTCTCTCACCCAGCAAAGTCAGGCATCCCCGCTATCTCACAGACATGAAAGCCACTGCAAGAGATCGGAGCAGGGAACTGTTTCTGCCCATCTGCCCTTCAGCAATAGCAAACTTGCAGATTTCAGCCTTGTTATTTATGATGTTAGCAACAAAAATTTAAGAGTACATTTTGAGAGACAGATGGGTTTTAAACTAGCACAGCAGGCACCTACCAGGCTCTGTTCAATGAGGAGGCAAAACAGGACGGCATTTCCCACTTCCCGCAAATTCTGGAAGCAGACAGTCTTCAGTTCTGCATATTCAACAATGTCCTTCAACTGATGGTGAAAAAACTCCAAGATACCTGAAATCAAAAGAGAAGCAAAAAAATTAAATCTCAGGAGCCAGAACAAAATCTAGTGATGATCACGCAGGCACAACTATTACCTTGGGAAAGCAGACAAAAGGTTCTAGTCATGTGAGTAAGAGTCCTGCGGATCAGGGCTAATTTTTCTTTCTGCCTCAAAAGCACTCCAATTTTCTAACCAATTTGCCTATTCAAAGGTTGCACTGAATGCGCACGCACACACGGTATCAGAGCGCAACTAGCTGAGGGTGCGGGCTTAGAGTTCTCTCTCCAGATACCAGCACATGAGATTTTTGTCTCCAGGTGTGCAGCCTAGAGGAAACTGAAAGGAGCAGAACTTCAATACATTAAAAATCAGAGGTTATGAAGTGTTAAGCCAGTGGCGTGCTGACCTTTTTAATTGCACAAACCATGCAAAATGGAGTGCCTAGCTTCTCACTCCTGGAAAAGAGAGCCAGTATAAGAAGCAAGAAAATAACTTCCAGGAGCAGGAAAAGACACTGGGGCTCTTGTCTGCTATTAGTCCTGTTCCAGCCTCTGTCCTCCAACCTGCCGCACCACCCGACACGTTCAATTCACAGCTGTTATTTCCAAGGATGACAGAGCCAGCAAGGAGCACAGCGCTGAAGATACAGGGAAGGGGGGTGGTGCCAGGCTATGACTGTGCCACAGAGGTGATCTGCAATCCCACAAAACAATTAAATGCAGAAATCACAAGTTAAGCTCTCTGTTGGCTTGTGGGTACATCAGATCCCGCTGACAAGCGCAGTTCAGAACACTGTTTCTGTCAAAGTTTTGCCAAAAGCTGTTGAAAAACAGCTAAAATGATTATTTTCAAAACCACGTCATTTACATAAACATACATCTTTTCCACCAAACCTCTCCCAAACAACGATGACACGTAACATGCTGGTGGATTTCCAGCTCCTCTCCCCTCAACCCCAGAAAGGTTGTGCAGTCCCTTGGTTAGAGACAAGCCTGGGAAACCCCGGGCTCAGCAGCTGCTGCAGAGAACTCGTCTGGGTCGCACCGTAGAGGTTAAAGCGATGTGCAGGATGGGCGAGGAAGAGCAGAGAACTGCAGTAGGTCAGACAGCTCTCCATCTTTTTACAAGTTAACTTTTATCAGCATTTTTCCCTCTGTCTGCACAAGCCTGGCCCTTCTAAAAAGCCACCAAAACCCTCATCTGAAAATGCATGGCACAAAGCTTTAGAACTGTGTGCTACACACAGAAGTTCATTTCCATTACAGTGAATTAAGTCAGAGTTAAATCTCCACCCAATCACATCTAAAGCAATTGAGAGGAGACAAGGCAAGAGAGCACTGATGCCCCCACCCCCCCCTCCTCATCCCAAGCGTTCCCTGGACACAACTGATGAACTCTTCCTGTGCAGGAGATTAGGCTTTGGTATTCACTCAGCCAAGCAACAGCTGAGAGGGGAGCAGACAAACACCAAATACAGCCTGCAGCGTATCTATTCCAAGGAAATCCCTCAAATTCACCAGAGGAACTTGAAAACATGCAGTGAAGGAGGGAACTGTGTAGCTAACCCACACACTTCTCCAGAAAGCCTCATGTCATTAAAATTAATAACACGGAACATCAGTAAGGTGCAAGGCGAGAGGATCCAGGGCTGGCTCTGTTACATCTCAAAGAACTGTTTGTCAACAGAAAATTCACAGTAAATGAGCGTTCCCACATGCATTGAGTGGAAATAAATCTCAGACCTAACTTTAGTAGTTTAGTGACTCAATAGAAAAACAGAGCTGAAAAACTAATGGAGAAAGGTCAGATGTAGTGAGTGCGTGCTGAACTTGATTTATTCAAAAGCAACACATTTAAATCTAGCTAAAAAGCAAACAAGTCATGCCAGCACACCACCAACTCCCTCCTTTCCTTAACATGGGGCCTATGTAATGAAAAAGCTCTGGAAAAGACTGTCGGTGTTCATTCAACGCTGCGGTATAAAGGCCAATTGCAATTCCATGTGTCTGAGCAGCAGCGAGGACTCGGGTTTGTTAACAAATTTAAACACACCTGCCCACCGTAGGAATGGGATGCTGCAGTGCTGAATACTGGGACTCCTGTTTGAAAGATGAGGTTGAAAAGGCAGATTGATACGGTAGAAAATTATTCACAAAAAATTTTTGATGCTAGGGAAAAAATGCAAAGTGAGGGAATTGAAGCAAGAGTTACCACAAGTCTACAGTGTTTTGTACTACACGCCCTAATATTTCCTTTGTGTTTTTCTCTGTTGATGAAAGGGCTTCCACACATAGCAAGAAAGGTCTTCTAAGTATCAACTACTAGAAGTCAAGTCAAATACTTTCCACACACCAGGACTTTCTGGAAAACGAAAGTTCATTGCATTATCCTGGGCTTAGGTCTGTGCCTTAGAGGAAATAAAACTACAATATGTACAAACACTTCTGGTCTTAGTATCCATGGCATGTACACAGAGACTGATGGTGAATCAACAGAAGGGCTGGAAGACTCCCCGAAACCCAGTGAGTTACTGTAGACTTCTCCACATAGTCACCGTGGCGAAAAAGCGCTATCTGAGCAACAAGGACAGACACAGGGATGTCGTTCCCTTTAGCTTGTCGGGTGAGTGGGGAGCAATTTGGTGAGAAATAGCAGCTAGGCAGAGCACACGGTCGATTCTGCTACTGCAACACAGAAACAACCATCAGTCATGACGGGAAAAGAGCGGGGTTTTCAGACTCTCCTCAATACCCCACCCAGCCTGGGGATTTTGTGGGCAGTATCAGAAAAGAGACTGATGTCCAGAAAGATGATGAGAAAATTTTATCGATCTTATATGGGCAGTGAAATCCTGAGCATAACCCACGTCACCTACAGCAAATGCAAAGGAGCAGGGTGGCACAGAGAGAAACCAGGAGCGGCACAGAGGACTGTGACCAGCAACAAGGAACTCATACTGAAGGTGCAACTGAAACTAAAGAGGTGGTGAGTCCACCCAAAAGCAGCAGGATAGCAGAAGTCAGAGAGACTTGAGGTTCATACCATCAAAATTACATATTGCCTTTTACAGTCGCTCCAGAATTCTCAAAATCCTTAACAAAGATCTTTTCTTCACCCAAAGCCCCAGTATCCGTATTACAGATATATAAATACACACCCACACCTATAGTGTCGTGGTTTTGAAAATCTGACACTCAGTATTAGCATGCAGTTGTTCCAAATGCTGCCATCAACCGTTCCCCTTAGATGAAGGGCTTGATTTACTGGCAAAACAGAGGAAAGTTTACAGAACTTCACAGGCTATTTTTGATGGGAACAGAAATGACACTGAAAGCACGATCTGCTCCCCAGTGGAGTCCTATGGCAGAAATACATCACCATGTTTTCATTAATGTTTGAGCAATGGCATT